AATTCAGAAACAACCAAACCAAATCTTCAGATGCAGCTCAATGTTGGGCTGAATCCACGGATGGGACCAGTCAGCTTCCAAGTTCTTGGATAAAGTTCTGCATAGCTGAAGATCTGGGGGCTTGAGTAGAAACGTAAATCGGGTCCGAGCAACATCCCTCGCTACTATAATAAGATCTGCTGCTATAACATTTTGTGCACAGGTGTAACTTACAGTGTGTATAAAGATACATGTCTTTAATAGACGTTTAATGAGTGTCTACAGAAGTGTTATAGCAATATATCTTTTGTAGTGGTAACGGCAAACGTAGGGGGATAAGTGTCTGTATAAAAACAACAATGTGTAACCCAGTTGCGTTGCACACTTGTTGGCTGATTTCCCTGTATGACTCCTTATGCTCGTACGCTTTTGTGACGACTCGTTCTTCATGCTGACACTGCTCTTTGTCCATGAAATACGATGTGGGGAAATACACTTGCAAGCACAATCTCTTAATCATTCATCTTGCCTCCACGTTGGGATTTAGATGGAGCGCATCTAAATCCTGCCAGGGAGGTTAAATGTTCCACATGCTTGTAATGGCTGCATTCAAGATCCGGGGTCGGGGGAGCGTGACGGCGCTCGCTGGGCTTTGCTGAGCCACTTTGCATTGGAGACTCCTCCAAGCAATTAGTTTGTCACGCAGTGTGCTTATGGTTGTGGGGAGAGGAGGGAAGCGAGGGGTTGGGGGGCTTGCACTGTATCTGTTGTGCATTCATACATGGCATCATTTCCTCTTGCTATAAAACACCCCTATTGGTATGAGTCACGTGCATCCCCTTCGGACTGTGGCATTTTCTGTCTCTGGTTCCTGTGTGTTAATCCTGTGGGTGTTGCCGTTCCTTTTACTTGCAGCTTCTCGACGTCATTCCAGATCCACTAGCGCGCTCTCCACTGCTGAGTCTGTTGGGCAGTCAGGTGAACAAGTGCTAACTGCATGAATCCGCTTCTTAAAACAGTCGTGTTGTATGACCATGTTAACATTTGCAGTCATGCGTATCAGTCAGCACTTGGCATGTGCTTCTCACTGCTGCGGGGCTTTTTCATTTTCTTCGTTTAACGTGGCTTGTTTCTGTTCATTTTAATTTATTTGTTTTTATTATTATTGTTGTTGTTGTTATTTTGTCGATCCATTTTTAGGAACATTGTGAGCAGTGTTGTCATAAGGGTGATCCAGGGCTTTCGTTCCTCTTCGAACACTTAGCAGCCGTGTGGGATGGGCTAGATCCCAGAGGGTGCTGAGTACTTACGACACCATTGATGTCCATGGGAGTTGTAGGGTTTAGGACTGAACCTCCAACCCTGGGGGTTGGCTTCTGCTTTCCCCCAGCCAAGGGGAGTTGAGACCCCTCAGTACTTTGTAGGCTCAAGCCCCAAATTCACAAGAGCAGTGTGAATTGCTCACGCAGTGGGTTTGGAAACGGAGCACTTGACTCTGTAAAATTATTGAGGTTTGCTCCAAACCTCACTGAACTCAATGCAAGGATTGCTCCAAACCTCGCTGAAGTCAATGGAAGGACTCTCTTGGCCTTCCCATGCTTTGAATCACTTAATGAATGCTTTGAGTCGAATAGGACAAAACCTGAGGTTTTCACTTGCTTTTCCCCCAAAACTCCCATTGACAACACTAGGCAGGTCTTGAGATGTGGAGCAACTGCCCGTGCCTTTGAAGTCAGTTTTCAGTGGGAGTTTTGCGTTCAGAAGAGCTAAGTGAGGATTTCAAGATTTGTCTCGGTGGGAAAGAAGCTGAGGCAAGGACAAAGTAAGAAGTAAATGAGGACTCCAGTGTGTCACCAGATACAGTGGTTGAAAAGGAGTGGAGCCATTAATGAAACCCAAAGCCCTACCACTGTCCCCATTTTGGCAGCGCTCTGTGCTTTAAGGCTCAGTTGACTTCAGTGACTATTCTTGGATCAGCTCTCAAAACCGATTCTCTACCCCGCAGTTGTACAGAAACAAACGTGCAGTTGAACAGATGCATTGACCTTTATAAGCTAATAGTAACAATTAAAAACCAGATGCACTGCAGAGAATAAGTGCAATTAGCCAAATAATTGCAGTAGGGACCAAGGTCTGAACCCCATGCTTCTTTTCCACTTCCTCTGAAATATGCTGCATTTTTAGCTCCAGGGACAAAACGAGATCCAGTAATCTGTGTCCTCGAGAAGACTGAATCCAGTGAGAATTATGCCTCCATAAAGATGGTAAAATCAGGACAAAACTGAAGCATAAGGAAGCAGCGGCAACTCCAGCTCCAACCTGGAGGAGGCAACAGTAGGAGCAGTTCTTGCTCTGAGCTGGGAAACTGAGTGGTGGCTCCAGCCCCTGTTGGTGTCTCATGCCAGTGCTGGAGCTGCACCACCATATGCCCTGGATCAGAGCTGGAGCATCTACCACCGCCACATGCCCTGTGCCATGGTGGCAGCTCCAGCTCTGGCTTCAGCACAGGAGCCGTCAGCTGGAGGGGCAATCAGAGTTATTTCAGCCCTCGCTAATCCTCCGGCTGCCATCACCTTGTCAGCTGGGGCCCAGATTATGTGGCAGGCCATGCCCTGGCTATGTCCTCAACATCTGGTGGCCCACAGGTAGTGGAGCGAGCTGCATACAGCAGCTGTGCAAGCTGTATGCACGACACTCCTGCTTTTAAGCAATCCCAAGCAGTGAATGATCCCACCCTATATCCTGAAACCAAATGGCCCGATCTTTTCAAGGCCCAAGTCCTGCTTATTTGCTTCATGCAAGAAGTCCTATTCAAGTCTAATGAACCTGCTCATATGAGGAAGAGGTAATCTATAAGGAAGATTCCTGACTAATTTATTTTAATTATAGATGAGGTTTTTACTAGTCTGTGAGCGTATCTACACATGCAGTTAATGCAAAGCAAGAAAACCTGGGACTGCAGCATACTGAGCCAGGTCGGAGCAGCCCCAGCTGGCAGGTGGCCTTAGGCATCAGCCTGCAAACCCAGGGCTGCTCCCCACCCAGCTCAACATGCTGTGGAGAGCATGGGGGTGCTCCTGTGTGGGGCTACCTGGCAGGAAACCCCCCGCGCTGAAGCACCCTCGTGCCCCAGCCAGCCAGGGCAGCATCTACATGCGCGCTGCTGTGGAGTAGAAAAAACTCTGCAGTAGGATAGTACTTGTATTTATAAATAGTATCCTACTGCAGAGTTGATTAGTTTACTGCAGCCTAATAGGGGCCCACATTTAAACAGGTGACATTTACTGCAGAGCTAATTAGTCTGCTCTGCAGTAAATATCTCATGTAGACATATCCTGCTAGTCCAAATCTAAATCTAAACTAGTTTGTTAGTTGGAAAGAAAGGGATCACTATCTTGGCACCCGCTCTGTTGTATACGGGCTCTCTGGATTCAGAGGGGCTTGTACAGATTTAATACCTATACAAACGATTCTGCTTTCTTCAGTTGTAGTTTGTATCTGTCTGCACAGAGACACTGTTAGCCATGTGAGTCTGAAGTCGTCAAGTAGAAGGGAGAGTAGGTTTGCATGTTATGGACTAACCAAAGTGTGTGTTAGCCATCCACGTTACAACGTACCTGTTGGTTAGTCCATAAGGTACAAATCTACCCTGCCTTCTGCTTGACTCCAGACTTGCATGGCTAACCGTGTCACTCTGCAGTTTGTGAGCTGCAAGCTACAACTGAAAAAAATTGGGCCCATTCATGTAGCTATTAAATCTGTATAACTCCCTCTGAATCCAAAGGGGAGTCCATGGGCCCATAGGTAGCACGGCTGATGCCAGGATGGTGATAACCTGCTGCACGTGACAAAGCTGGATACAGCTTGCAAAGTGTGGCCCCAGCATTGCTTTCTGACGTGGCCCCGTTAGACAGCGTTGCCTGCGTCAAAGGCTTATACCTAGGAAAAAGATGCTCCAGCCAGCTCCGAGCAGGTATAATAGCTCAGCTATGGGAGCAAGACCACATGCCTGTGAATCATGCTCTGGCTGCTCTTTTCAGTGTACATCTGGGGGCTGCCCGAAGTTATCCTCGGTACCAGGTATGTCCCCAGCTCTGCCCAGAATCGGGAAGCTACAAAGAGACGTGTCCACTTCATTTCCGTACAGGTGCAGAGTATCAGGGAGTAGGAGCCCATGTCTTCTCCGTTCCACTTTCCACTGATGTTTAAACCTGTGTTTCAACAATTGTAGAAGGACCCTTGGAGCAAGAGAGACACCAGCATGCATTATTCTGATTTATTTAGGAATGGCTCTGTTTTCTTTCTGTTTATGCTGGGCATTTTTAAACCGATGTATAATTGAATTCCTTTGCCATTCTGTTATCCATTTAGAAAGAAACTATCCTCCCTTTTCTAATGTGAAACAAAATTCACCTGAAAGCAAAGGGCGCTCAAAATGCTTTTTGCTCTAATATTTTA